GATTATTCGACAGATTCATTTCTGGTACCGCTATTGCATCTCTCTGAAGGTCAACACAACGTCTGATTTGCGATCATCACTCCAATCAACTTACAAGGAGTGTACCACTTCTCTCTCTAGTTGACAAGTCTCACTCGGAATCAAATAAACCAAGTGAATTGCTCAAGTGAACGAACGTAAACTAATCTCAATCATTTCAACGAACCAAATTGAAAATCTGCGATCTTCTCGTGATTTTCACCAAAATTTGGATAGAAAAAAGCTGACCAAACAAGAAAAAAAGAGTTCAAGTGAAACAAACAAAAAACAAATCAATCAGAAACAAACAAAACCACTCACCAATCGTTGCGCTTTCTCAGGCATACCCATTTTCTCGTATGCACCTGAAGAAAAAAGAAAAAAACTACTCCGTTTTCAGCGTCGAACAACATTTCAGTTATTATTTGTATATGGCAAAATTTTGCAGTTGAAGTGGTAATAACAAAATGTGTAATAACAAAAATTTAAACACAAACAAAACAACTGCTTAAATATGCATCGAAAAAACGCTCATCACAGTCAATAACGTTTAAAAACGCTACGAATTGGAATATGGCTAAATGGGAGAAGCCAAAGAAAGTATTCACCATTCAAAAATTCCATCAAATTCATATCGCTAATAAAGCCAAAGAAGAGCGTCGAAGCGTCAAGCACATGATGTGGTGTTTCCAATAGGGCATTCGTTGTCTCAACGTAATGCTCCTGTGGATCACGCATCAGTTGACACACCAACGCCGATAATGTCGGTTGGCCAGCTGCTCGTAAACATCGTTGGATCTTATACCACATCTTCAATTGTTCAACTAATACAAATTGTATTCATGCATTCCGCGATAAACCATAAGAACACATAAAATTTACAAATCAAAACCGCTCTTGAGTGGTAGAAAGTTGTCAAGCTAACAGAACAGAAGATGAGAAGAATTTCCGGATTTCTCTTCTTTGGAAAAATAGATCAAAACTGAAGAAATTCTAGGACCTGACGGGGCAATTCAAGACACCGGAAACTCGCCGAACTGAACAAAACTTGAACTCACCACATCATCAACGACATTATCCGGGAACGGTTTCGTAAAATTATCACTGCAAGCAACACACGTCTCCATATACAAAACCAATGCATCTGCGTACTTTTCACATGCTAAAAGTATGCAAATTTCGTTCAAAAATCAACTCATCTTAAAAGATGAACAAACAGCACGATGGCATAATTTGCATCCAGCGATCTTCAGAACAACAACAACAA